CCTCTGCTGGCCCCTCTGGCCAGCCCTGGGGCACCCTGGCTGTGGCAGCTCCCGTCGGCACGGAAGGTGTCCGCTGCGGGTGCGCGGGTAGAGGAGGCCCAGGCCGGGTAGGACCTCGGCTTCGCTCTGGAACCGGCTTTCCTGCCAGCGGCCCTGCCCGGCCTGTGGGAGCTGGTGCCTCGGGTGCGGGGCGCAGAGCGCCTGTCCCTGGCTCCTTGTCCCTGACTGAGGGGCGTGCTTCCTCCTCAGCCAGTGTCCCTCTGCTGGCAGCTTCTGGGGCTCCATTCCCTGTCGCTATTCGCTGCTATTCGTTCCCCGCGATGGTTCCCACTGCCCCGCATCTCCCCCCCTCCCCAGTGGAGTGGCCCGTCAGGCCCGGGCACACCTCCTGGCCCTCAGCTCTGTCAGGCGCCCTCTTCTCGACAAGCACCTCACAGCCGTGCCAGAGCTGCTTGGGGCTCTCCAAGGGTGCCCCCTCCACCTCCCGACAATGTCTGGCCTGGGAGGAGCTGGGCAGCACCCTTTCCATGTGCCTCAGGCCGCTCCCCACAGTGGGGGCAGGGGGTGGGGACTGAACCCTGAGGCGTTAGCCTCCCCAGGACACACGGCGGGGCAGTGATCCACTTTCTGACTCTTGTTCATTGACTGACTGACCGGAGAGGTGGACAAGGCGGGGCCTCCTGGGGGGAGTGCCGGGCAGGCCCTCACCGGCTCCCCCCCCACTGCAGTGAAATTCCCTTGTGGAAGGCCGTGGGGCCCCGTGGAGAAGAAGGGCGCGACCGTGAAATGCTGCACGGACCAAGCAGGCCAAGTGGACCCGCGGCTCGTCAATGGGAAGCTGACCCTGCAGGGAGAGAGCCCCTGGCAGGTGAGGGAGGGCAGCAGCCCGGGGCCCTCGGGGCGCAGAAAAGGGAGGTGCTGCCTGGGCTGGGAGAGAGGGGAGGCGAGTGCTAAAGGCACCAAAGGGAGGGGCCGGGGACAGGCCCACTCTGTGAACTGTGCAGACACAGAAGGTGCCAGAACAGGGCCGGGAGGGAAGGCTGGGTGTGCTCCAGGCCTCCGGGCTGAGCCCGGGGTCTGTGCTGAGACGCAGCGGCCGGCTCACCCCATTCCAGGTGGTCCTGCTGGACTCGAAGAAGAAGCTGGCCTGCGGGGCGGTGCTGGTGCACCCCTCCTGGGTGCTGACGGCCGCCCACTGCATGGAGGACTCCAAGAAGCTCACCGTCAGGCTTGGTGCGGGCTGGGGCCGGGGGATGACGGGGGTGAGGGGGAGGTGTGGGGACCCTGTCCCCAGGGGGTGCATGGCCTCTACAGAAGGCGTTGGTCAGAGGCCTGCCTGCGCCCAGCCTCCTTCCTGTGGGGGGACTGCAGACAGGGGCGCGGGGGGCGTGCAGGTAGGGTTCTCGGTGCCCTCTTCCCTCGGCCCAGGTGCTTTCTCACAAGTGTCTGCGTGTGAGGGTCACACACACACTTGCCTCCTCTGCACAGACCCACAGGCACCTGCCTGGCATCAGGGCCATGCTGCTGGTGGGCAACTCACACCAGCCAGCTGCTTCCCTGCCACCATGCAGGGCCCCCAAACCTCGGCCCCACTCTGTACCAACTTCTGGAGGGCGCGCTTACTCCATTCTTTATGCAAAAAGGACGGACAGGTGTATTGCCAAAGACCAGATCCTCATTCCCTGCAATCATCTGCAGCACAGCCGAGGGCCTGTGGCCCCAGGGGGGCTCTGCTGGCAACTCCCAGGCGTCCCTGTCTCTGGTGTGGCCCGGACCTTGCTTCCCTGCAGCTCTGCTCCCCTCGGTCCTCCTCTCTGGGTCTTGCTGCTCCTGCCCTGCCCCCACCATGGCATGTCCCTCTGGTGCCCAGGTTGGCACTGCTGCCATGTCTCGGCTGGCAGCAGTCTCGCTCTCCAGGGCTCTGTCTGTGAGTCTGAATCTCAGACCAGCATCCTGGCCCTTCACAATAGACGCCATGGCTGCTGCCCTTCACGGGGAGCGAGGGGCCCCATGTGCGGTGACTCGCGGGCTGGGGACCACGGGCACCCTCCACCGGCCCGGCCCCCCGCTCCCCTGACCGCCCCTCTGCCCGCAGGGGAGTATGACCTACGGCGCCGGGAGAAGGGGGAGGTGGACCTGGACATCGAGGAGGTTCTCATCCACCCCAACTACAGCAGGAGAACCACGGACAACGACATCGCCCTGCTCCGCCTGGCGCAGCCCGCCTCCCTCTCGCAGACCGTCGTGCCCATCTGCCTCCCGGACAGCGGCCTGGCTGAGCGCGAGCTCACCCAGGTCGGCCGGGAGACGGTGGTGACGGGCTGGGGCTTCCGCAGCGAGACCAAGAGGAACCGCACCTTCATCCTCAACTTCATTAAGATCCCAGTGGCCCCTCACGACGAGTGCGTCCAGGTCATGCATAACATGGTCTCGGAGAACATGCTGTGCGCGGGCATCCTCGGGGACCCACGGGACGCCTGCGAGGGCGACAGTGGGGGGCCCATGGTCACCTCCTTCCGTGGCACCTGGTTCCTCGTGGGCTTGGTGAGCTGGGGTGAGGGCTGCGGGCGCCTCCACAACTATGGCATTTACACCAAAGTCAGCCGCTACCTCGACTGGATCCACAGCTACATCAGAGCCGCGGCAGCCCCCCCGGGGAGCCCGGGGCCCTAGCACCCCCCCTCCTCCCCAGGCCTGGGCACTGGCTGTGCATGGCAACGTGTGGGTATTAAAGGGGGCATGCAACAAGCACCCGCTGCTGTTCTGTCCATCTCTTTTCGGGACGGTTCTAGAGGGAAGTATTTATTGAGCATCTGTATACCCCAGATTCCTGAACGGAATCTTGTTTAGCACCACAGCAACCCCGTGGGGTAGGGAAGAGCACATCTGAGTCCTGTGGGGTCTGAAGCTGGTCACATTTGGGGGACTCTCTTTATGAAAAAGAATAAAAAAATATGACTTCACAACTGTGAGAGCCTCCCCAGGCGCTGGACGGGCCGTGTAGGTCAGGGCTCTAACTCAAGACGCAGGAGGACAGGGTCCCGGGAGGTGTGGCCGTGCAGCCAGGACTCACAACTAGGTCTGCTTCCCACGCCCGGGCTCCCGTCACTGGTCCCCACACAGACCCCAGCGCCGTGCCTGTGCCTGGGGGCCTCGCCAGCCCCACGGACCCTGCCCCTGCGGGGAGCCGGGGCCTGCAGGTGTCATTGGGCCAGAAGTGCCTGGCAGTGCCGTGGGGCAGCCACTGGAGACAGTCAGAGAGCCGCAGGCTGAGGCGGCCCTGACAAGCTTTATCAGCAGAGACCAGTGGTTCCGAGAGCGGTCAGGGTGCCTGACCATAAAGGGCAGTGGAGCCAAAGCCGTCCTGAGCTTAGTCTAAGTCTGCGAGGCCTGCAGGCCACTCCCCTTGGGTGGGAGCAGCGGCTCGGCCTGGCTGTCCACTTGCCCCCCGCAGAGCTTTCACATAGACTCCTTCCGGCCCACCCTCAGATCCTGGCTGGGCCGATTCAGGGTCAGGGCCCAGACACGGACTTTTTTAAACTCCCCGGTGATTTTAGCGTTGGAGGGCTGACGCCACGGGGCCTCTTCTGCTTGGAAGGCGGGGCTCTCAGACTCAAGGCCTAGGAGCATGGGGGCAGAGACTCCGGAAGTGACCAGGCCACCCTCTGCGGGCAACTGATCGGGGGCTCTGCGGACAGGGGCACCGGGAGGGGGTGTGGCAGCGGACACAGACAGCGCCAGGCCAAGGCGGGTACGGGTGCGGGCGGGAGGTGGGGCCCTGAAGCCAGCAGCCTGGGCTGCAGCCCAGGGAGGGAAGGCCTACCCATGTATGAATTTCATGAATTGGGCCTCTAATTATAAAATAACATGTACCTCTAAAAATATAGCTGCAAAATATGTGAACCAGAAAGTGACAGAAGGGCAGGGAGAAATAAACAATTGTACTTGGAGATTTTAAAAAGCTCCCTCAGAAACCAATAAATTAAACAGATTAAAAAATTAAACAGGTATATGGAAGGTTTGAGCAATGAAATCATTTATGAAAGTGGGCTGGGCCAAGGAAGCCTCAGTAACTTCCAGGGACTCAAAATGTGATAGAGCCCGGCCAGCGGGGCTCAGTGGTTGGGTGTCGACCTATGAACCAGGAGGTCAGGGTTCAATTTCCAGTCAGGGAACAGGCCCGGTTGCAGGCTTGATCCCCAGTGGGGCCATGCAGGAGGCAGCTGATCAATGATTCTCTCATCATTCATGTTTCTAGCTCTCTCTCCCTCTTCCTTCCTCTCTGAAATCAATAAAAAGTATTTATATATTTAAAAACCATGTGGTATAAACCATGTCCTCTCGCCAAAAGGCAGGAAAATAAAAATTAATAACAAGAAATAGTTTTTATATGTTCTCAAACTAACATAATGAAAAGTCATAAGAGAAATTAAGAAACAGCAAGAACTGAGTGTTAAATTGTGGGACATAGAGTAATGCATCAAGGGAAATTATATCTTTAAATACACTAATCAAGAAACAAAAAAGTTAAAAGCAACTGTGTATTAATCAGTGTTCTCCAGAGAAACAGAATTGACACATCTATGTATATGTATATGTATATGTATATGTATATGTATGTCTATACTATATCTATAAATCATTCATCTATCTATATCACACACACACACACACACACACACACACACACACACACGAGATTTATGTTAAGGAATTGGCTCATGCAATTGGGGAGCTTGGCCAGTCCTAGAGCTGATGGGATAGACTGACGGGCTGTAGACTTGGGGAGGAATTATGGTTTGAGTCCAAGGCCATCTTTTGGTGGAATTCTGCCAGGACTGACCAGCAGACCCTGAGCAACAGGTGAATGATGACACTGACACACGTTTGTGAGTGAGAGGCTAAGGGACTGCCTGGCTGTAGGAACCAGACAGACCCTTTTGCCTGCCTCCTTAGTCTTTTACTGTAGCAACAGCTTGAACTAAAATTAACCTCTAGACACAATCAGCAGGGTGAGCATCCTTGAGAAAGCACATGCTTCTAAAGACTAAACATAGAGATTCCAGCAAAACACCGGGGGCTCCGACTTGTTTGAAAAGTCAATGCAGGGGCTGCTACCTTCAGCAAGTTCCCCCCAAAAGCCCCCGACCTTTTGGAAAATCCTCCTTACAGACATTCCAACCAAGTCCCGTGCTTCCCCACAGAATTCCTTCTTGCTCAGGGAGGTCAGGCTTGTTCCCTTCAAGTCTTCAACTGATTGCCTAAGGCCCGTCCACGTTATGGAGGAGGGTCATCTGCTTTGCTCAGTCTACCAATGAAAGTGTCAATTTCATCCAAAAATCTCCCGGCAGAAAACACCCAGAGCAGTGCCTGGCCCAGTCTGGCACTATGGCCCAGCTGCCAATTTGCTGCATAAAATGAACCATCACAAAGCGTTATGGGTTGAACTGAATTCACTCTCCTCAAGTTTATATGTTAGAGTCCTAATGCCTAGGCCCTAGGGCAGTGATGGCGAACCTTTTGAGCTCGGCGTGTCAGCATTTTGAAAAACCCTAACTTAACTCTGGTGCCGTGTCACATGTAGAAATTTTTTGATCTTTGCAACCATAGAAAAACAAAGACTTATATTTTTTATATTTATTTTATATATTTAAATGCCATTTAACAAAGAAAAATCAACCAAAAAAATGAGTTCACGTGTTACCTCTGACACGCATGTCATAGGTTCACCATCACTGCCCTAGGGCCTCGGAAGTGGCCTCATTTGGAAATAGGGCCGTAGCAGCTGTAATCAGTTATGATGAGCTAATAAGGAGCAGGGTGAACCTCTGCTATGACTGGTGTTCTTATAAAAGGAGGAATTTGAACATAGACACAATGAGTGGAGATGTGAACACACAGAGAGAACGCCTGGCCAGTAAAGGATCCGGAATAGGTGGCTAAGTCCCAGGGGAGCCCAAGAGGGCCCAGGGATGAGACAGCTGGCAGCCAGGGCTGGGGCGCGCAGTCCTGAACCCCTTCGCTGCGTGGACCCCGGCTCAGGCTTCTCACAGCAGCCGGATGGAAATGCAGACGCTACCTTTGGATGAGGAGGATGGGGTCCAGCGGGGTCCTGAGACACCCCTACTGGGGGAGTCCTTGTGGGAGTGAGGGACGCTCTGCAGCTCCTGCTCTGTCCTCTGTCGGTGAGCGGGAGGAGTCCAGCCGAGCGGGGCAGGGTCAATATTTGGGATGGCTCAATCACTAGCCAACATCAACCTGTCCTTTGGTAGGCTCCCCTCGGGCAGGTGCTGGGTGCGGCAGGCCTGCCTCCAGCCCCCGGGGCCAGCTCTCTCACCCCCACCCTGCCTGCCTAAGGGGGGCCCCTGGGTCTTCGCCAGAACTGGATGTGGAGGGCAGGCAGGTGGCAGCCCCTGACCTCTCTGCTCAGACTTCCCCACGGGAGAGGGTTTGTTGCCTATTAAGGTGCTGGCCAAACAAGCAAGCACTAAGACCCTAAAACGGTGGGAAAATGAGTTTTAAAAGAATCTGTCAAGAAAAAAAAAAGGGCATTGGAAGTAATCATCAATGAAAGTCAGAATTTTGATGGACTTTACTGCACTTATTTTTTAAAAAATTTTTAAAATATATTTTTTATTGATTTCAGAGAGGAATGGAGAGGAAGAGAGAGAAAGAGAAGCATCAATGATGAGAGAGTCACTGATCAGCTGCCTCCTGCATGTTCCACACGGAATCGAGCCTGCAACCCCAGCATGTGCCCTGACTGGGAATGGAACCGTGACCTGGTTCATAGGTTGGGCTTACCGGACTTGTTTTGCGGTGTAGCATTATTTTTATTTTAGACCCTTTGGGGCCCATGATGAGCTTTGCTGGATTTAATCCTCCAAGCTGGCTGAGACACAGGCTGCTGGCCGCTCATTTACCCAGACAAGACAACGGAGGCTCAGAGAGGCTAAACTGCTCTGCAAACACACTGGGCGGGTATGGAGAGACTGAGGGTCTGCCTCCAGGGGAGGACCCTTAGTTAATGTGGGTCCGGGAAAACCTCAGCAGGGAGTCACTGGGCAGGTGGGGGCAGAGGCTGGAGCCGCATGGAGCCAACCCTGGGAACACAGGATCTTAATGGCTGACAGATGCCACTGTGGGGTCCGAACAGACAGAACTCCGGTCCTATTCCCAAGTGAGGCCGCGGGGAGGCCCCCGCCCCTGTGCTGGAACTGAGGAGTCACAGCCTAACTTGGCTCGAGACTCTGGGTTGTTTGGGGCCTGTCGTCTGGGAGGCAGGAAGACCCAGGCCCACAGCAAGTTGGTGGTGGAGCGAGGGCTAACCAACACAGGATCTTAATGGCTGACAGATGCCACTGTGGGGTCCGAACAGACAGAACTCCGGTCCTATTCCCAAGTGAGGCCGCGGGGAGGCCCCCGCCCCTGTGCTGGAACTGAGGAGTCACAGCCTAACTTGGCTCGAGACTCTGGGTTGTTTGGGGCCTGTCGTCTGGGAGGCAGGAAGACCCAGGCCCACAGCAAGTTGGTGGTGGAGCGAGGGCTAACCCCCGGTCCCTGCCCCCGC